CAATCGAGGGCCCTATCAGAATCAAAAAAAGGCTGACGCAACACCATGTCATTGCGCGTTCGCGAACTCACCATACTTCCCGGTGCCTGTTTATCCGTCAGCTCCTTTCGACTAGCAATGCCAGACAAGGGCAGACCGTTGGCGATGCCTTTAGCAAAGATCAAAATGTCCGGTCTAACATTTGCATATTGGCAGCTCCACCACTTTCCCGTCCTTCCTATCCCGCTCTGCACCTCGTCGCAGATAAGCAAAATGTCGTGCTGATCGCAAATTTTACGCAGGCCTTGAAGGAAGGAAGCGGGAGCTGGAACATATCCTCCCTCGCCCAACACCGGCTCTAGGATGATCGCAGCCGTATCACGCGGTGAGGTCTGTTGAGACAAGACCAAATTGAGCTGATGCAGCGAGGCAGAGACTAGAGTGGACTCGGGAGTCGACGGTGGCAGGCCGTGCTGCGCATAGTAGGGAAAAGCTGTAGCGTAGATGCCGGGCTACAAGTATGGTGTGCACATTGTCAGCGCAACCACTGCTCTGAACCTGATCTCCCTCCGCGCATCGTGCAGCATCCGCAAACAACTCACGGGCACAGGATGAAAAGTGGCAGAGTAGACCGTCTTTGATTTGGTCATGCCTGCGGTCTGCAACGTCCTACCGTGGTAGGAGCCTATGGACCGCATGGTGAGCCAGCAGCTCTCTCAGCTCGCTTGTGTCGGGCATCATCTTGCCCTTTGCCCTTTGCGCTCGCCGCGCACCAGCACGCCAGCTCACCTTGCATGACCACCACATTTTGTTTTCCCGTACAACCTCTTGCCAACTTGATCGCCGCCTCTACAGCTTCTGCCCCCGAGTTCCACAAGAACACCGAGTCGAGCGAAGGATGGGCGAGGGCCAATTTGGGTAGCAGTGCTCGAAGCAAGGCAATGTAGGCTTCAGAGTGCCCAATGTTAATCTGCGCGTGGACCAGATTGCCCAATTGCTCTTGAGCTGCTGCCGTCACTTTGGGGTGGCAATGTCCTGGCGTGCAAGCACGGTCGTGGCGCAACAGAGTCGCAGAGAGCGATCGAGCGGCGTTGCTGACGAGCGTGAGCAGGAGTTGCTTCGAAAGCACAGGAATCGCAACGATGATGTAACCCCCGCCCTGCCCGTCTGTCAATGCACAGCAGCCTCGTCTGCCGCCTCAAGTCCAACTCGCAACGTCCTGCCATGCAACCCCGCCACACACACTCACCCAGACCAACGACACCAATGCCTGTGGTAAAGTCCAACAGCTTGACGTTTTGATCCGTAAAGATCCAACTCCCTTGTCCCCTTTTCAGCACGTGATTAGTCAACCTTCCAACTCCCTTTGCGATGTGTCTCGTACCGAACTGCGCATCCGCAGATGGTTGGAGAGGCAGCGACATGTCTTCGTAGGTAGCGAGA